GAGAAGTGGGGCTCCAAAGGACCCTCAAAACAATCATCTAGGGGAGAAAACAAGCCAGCTCGGATCGTTGTTCTTGCCAGAGCAAAGCCACCCCAGAGGACATGGGTGCCAGGCAAGGAAAACCTTTGTTTTTCCACCCTTATCCCACGCTGGCCGTGATGGAACTGAGGTGGTGGAGCACGAAGGAGCAGAAGGAGAGTCTGGGGGCCAGGAAAGCCCACAGAACACCGTTGGGTTCCTCCTCTAAAATGGGGGTTACAGTCGCATCTCTCCGTTGGGTGAGGCTTAAAAGAGATAATCCATGAGAGTGCTTGGCACAGAGTCGGGCCCACAGAAGTGCTCATAACATGTCCCTCTGGCAGCAGGACCAGGGGTCCAAGGTGCCCTGGGGGGGGAGGGGGAAGATTCCTGGTTGAAGCTTGATCACCGGATTTAGGATGTGAAATGATATCCACGGGAGCCAGAGGGATGTTTGCAGGGGAAGAGTGGGGTCCCTGGAGGGGGCTGGTGAGAGCTGACTGTCAGTCCCGGGGAACTGAGCTCCTGAAAGAACCAACAGGACCAGACGGACCGCGTGGGTGGCGGTGCTGCGCAGGAGGCTCCCCAAGGGCCGGACCGGGCTGGTGCGCCCCCTGCTGGTGGAGCCCAATCGCTGGCCACACTTCTGTGGGTCAGGACCCGCTGGGAGCCAGCCGGCTGGGCCTGGGGCCCCCTGGGCCAAGGCTGAGGTGGGCCAGCGTCACTGCCACCCCAGCTACAGATGTTATGTGACTAGCTAGATGACTCACAGCCAGAGAGCCATGCAGCAGAGATTCAAACTCTGCACCGCGGCCTCTGGAATATTTCTGGCTGGTCAGGGCACACTCTTTGACTGGATATGTTTGTTTCCCTCCTCAGGTGACCTGAAAAGATGCCAATTCAGAACCAACAAACCCTCCTCCAAAAAGACGGCCAAGGCAGCGATAGGATTGGATTTCATGTAGAGAACGACCACTAAAAATAAGTCAACACTGTTTAATCTTCTGA